GAATGATGTAAATTAGTATTAAGATATACTCCCTCCATCCCATGATATAAGACTTGTAAGCATTTCAAGATTCAACTTCTAAAATATTTAACCATTAATTAGTATAATATAAATTAAATTTTATTTGTTAAGAATATTATATTGTATTGACATTTGAATTTACTTTCATATGATTATAGTTTTGTTGCTATAAACTTTATAGTACATGAGAAATTATAAGTCAACCGTACCAAGTTTGACCATGCCTTATACTATTGGATAGATGGAGTAATAAATTTTAATCTTGCCGATCAGTGAGTGAAAAGTAATAGTTAGACAAACTTGGGTTTATTAGACTAATCTTTGTGTCATGCAAGCCAATACCGCTGGCACGTAATCATTTACATGACAAAATCACCTACAAAACTATGGTAGGGGTTATTTGAACCGGTTTTCATACTTCAGGGGTAGAATATCCGGTTTCGTCCTTTACGGAGTTAAGTAAACCAATCCCAATACTTCGGGAGTTACTAGCAATTGTAGCCTTAAAAATCTCGAACTCTACTATGTCTATATTTTCGTACAGTTTTAGTAACTATATAGTTAATCTTGTTTGTGATAAAATGATAGTTATATTTAGAGAATAGTCGAAAATAGATCAATATAAATGACCAAATAAAACATACAACGCACAAAAATGGCCATATACTTTGAAATAAGAAAAAAAAACTGCGTGAAATCGTGCATCGAGCTTTTATCGGCCTTTAAAGGTTTTAGAGCTGAAAATTTGCCCTCACAGACCTCTAGTCTGAGGAGAACAGGCTCCTCGGACTTAGGAGGTGTCCCCGAACTAATAATTGAGGTTTAGGTATCAGTTTCTGGTTCACGGTACGTAGTAGCACCATTGTATCACCGTTGATTCTTCAGATTTTGAGCGGGTTTGGTGCGAACAAGCATAGAAGTGATATTTTTATCACTGTCGGTGAACGTCGAAGATAGTCTGTTATGTGGTAGGATTGAATTTAGCTATAATGAACGGTTTTCAAATGGTTTTCACAAAAAAAAAAATGGTCTTGTAAACCCTGCTTGAAACAGCTTAACTGCACAATGCAAGTTGCTTCCGAGAGCAAGGAAGAAGAAAGGGACACCAGACACGAAACATCAACTAAAACGCGACCTAATTGTAAGTTTCTTTGGAAAATTAAATATCCAATCGGTCACGACGAAGAAGCCAACGAACACACGTACAGGTAGTGGGCCAACTCCCGTCCAGCCACACGACGGCGCCGACGTGATTTTAAATTGCAGCGGCGATTAATTAATTAATTATCGAAGTCTGCGGCATGTCGTGCTGCTGCTACTCACATCTAAGTTACTCAGTCTTAAAATAAATTTATTTTTAGTCCCATTTATTAATCACAAAATAAGTATCACAAAATAAGTTTATTTCTATCCTATCTCATCCCTCGGTCTTTACCAACCCTCACCTTTGGCCAATTCCTTCGCCATCGCCAGCGTGGGTACATTCGATCCACAGTACCTTTGCTCGCTGACTACCCTATCAGTCGAGGCATAGAAGAAGAAACCCCTCCCTAGGCTTCAACACAAGTTACCACTATATATACAAACGGATTCGGGCACGAACACTTCAAATCCTAGCACTACTACAAAACAGATCTTCCCAAATGGTTAAAATGGTTTTTCACATACGGGCACCACTACTGCCTCCAGCAAGATGTATGTATGAAAAGTTACGATTTTTACAAGCGGGTACCGAAACCGTATATGAAAATGATTTTCGTAGAAAGCCTCCTTAAGAGGGCCATCTAGAAAAAATGATTTTCCTAAACGGGTACATCAATACTCCCAATTGCACAAAGTTTTGAAAAAAGAACTAAAAAACCAAAAAAAATAATTCCAGAACCCCGCTTCGATACCCATTTGCAAAAATTCATCACTGAAGCTGCCATCCTCACCGCAGCAATCCATTGTGGTCACTAGATCCGCCGAACCCCGCTTGGCCCATCGCCATCCATCTGCCGGTGCCGACAATCACGATAGTCGAATCCACCTCTTCCTGGGCCCGTGGCTGTTGAATTGTTGATTCATCACCTCCCCGAGCACATCGCTTTGATTGCCAGTTCGCTACCTCTCGAGCATGCCGCCGTCGATCGATCCACCACTTTGTTCCCGGTGATTGTGGGCGCCGAAGCCGCCACTCTTGAGGGGCGCAGCCGTCGAATCTGCTGCTCCCCGTTGTATGCCCATCATCGATCCGTCGCTTCCCGAGCCCACTGCTGTTGATCCACGGCGCCCGGCAACTATGGGTGCAGTATCTACCGCTCCCCGCTAGGCCCATCGTCGCTCCGCCACTCCCAGGGCTTGTTGACACCTCCTACTCCCGTCGCTGACCGATTCGCAGTCGAGAGAGAGGGGAGGTAGGACAAGCGAGAGACGAAGCTAGAAGGGAGAGGAGACGGAGAGAGGGCCAGTGGATTTGCTGGGGCGGGGGAGGGCCGGGAACTTAGTGAGTGTCGTCGCTCTCGCCTGCGCCTCACTTGATTTTATACCAATAGTTGTTTTCCTCAAGCATGTAGGCCGGTATTTTCACGAGCATTTTTTTTAAAACAACTCGCACAAGATAGTGCGACGTTTCTATTGATATAATAGGAAAAAAATATAAGTCTACAGTCCTGGGAGACTATAGTCAGGAAAAAGAAAAGATAACCACACCACGCGTCTACGTCTGATCCTACTGTTAAAAACAGAACAAGCCCATAACACCCCTAAGGGATGGGTCTTCTAAACGACGCCTCCAAGAAGGAAATGACGCCAAGAGCACCGCCGCTGCCCGTCCTAGAGAACCAGGACGTGGTTTTCACTTGAAGAAACCATTGGGAGAGGAGAGAAAACGCAGCAACGAACCATGGGGAAAGCGACGCCCGTAGGCGTCGCCATTGCCGGCCTGAAGGCTAGGCTTTCGCCCGTAGTTCCTACTCTCCCGCACCAATGAGACATGTTAGATTCAGCAGTAACCACCAGCTAGTCCCCTTCGACGCGCAGGCACCGCGCCGATGCCTCGTCGTCGGCCGACCAACAAAGAAGGGTCTTGAACTCCGGTGTTCTCCAGCTTCGTCCACGTGGTTGGGTTGGAAAGGGAGAGGGTGAGAGAGAAGAATGGATCCCCTGTCTTCCCCTCTATCCTACGTTACCCAGATACGGGGATACGGATACGGATACGCGATACGTCGATACGGGGATACGTCATTTTCTGAAAAACATGGATACGGGGATACGTTCACATATATGTATATAAATATCTATATATAAAGACAAATATCAACTATTCAAAGAAATTAGCTAATTACAATGTAGCAATTTTTCTGATTATCTCTTGTAGTTGATTCAGGTGGGTGAAAGTGAAACGATGGCAGGTGTAGACTAGTTGAGAAATAGCACAACTAATATATCTAAAAAAAACTCTTTGATTTTTCCGTATACTCTTTGACTATTCTATTTCTTCTCTAACAACTCAACATATCACCGCATCCCACAGTGGCTTCTTCTCACCATCATTTGGAGGAATGATGAATCTGCAGCTAGATTAGCAACCGCACTAGCTCTAGGAGTGCTAGATGCATTGACACTTCCAATCCCAAAAATCATCAGATCTAAAAAAAATACTAGCTATCTCTGTATATTGCACTTCTGCCAAGAAAACAGGAAAGAGGAACAAGATCGAACAGATAAGATCACATGCACTCAAGCATCGAAGAGGCAAGCAAAACAAGTCAAATCGTTCAATGGAACTTGCCTCACCGGGAGCAGGAAGTCAGTGGCTGCTACGGCGGCATTGTGCCTGTTGGCGTTGGGTCCGGTGGTGGAGGCGGTGAATACATCTAGACGCAGATCTGCATTCGGCGTCTGAAGGTCCGGCATGTAGCGACGGTGGCGCTGCGTTCGGCGCTTGGCGGCGGCGGCTCAGAGTTCGGCCTTTGGCGTCTCGGGCGGCGGCGGCGGCGGGGGAAAGTGCCGCGAGGGTTGGGCATCAGGCGAGAAAAGTGGAGACAGCATATTGATCGTTGCCATGCGGACGTATCGAGAACGTATCCAGATTTATTTTAATTGTTCGAAAATTGCGAAAATCGCTGATACGTACGCGATACGTATCGGATCGTATCCGATACGTATCCGTATCCCTCCACGTATCTGATACGGATACGTTGCATTTGTGACGTATCCAGGTAACATAGCCTCTATCCCGCACTGACCCATCTAGCATGGCCATCTTGCGGTGGCAAGCCGCTGCCGGAAAAGGACTGACGCCCAGAAAGAAGCTTGCCACAGTCTTTCGGCAAGCTTGCCATCACGAGAAATTGGCCTAGAGGTCTGCGTAAAAGTGGATCTATTTTCGCAGGTAGTCGGTGTCACGAAAATCGGTTTTTATGATGTAGTATGAAAAAGAACGAGGCTTTAGTGGATATATATCCAATCTTACGGTTCAAATCATGGTGCCTATAAGTGTACCTAAAAATATTCGCAGAAAACTGTCATAAGCAGATTCACAATCAAGTACACAGGCAAGGACGTACGCTACACTGACGTGGATAGCAGGATAATTTGGCAATAATGTAGGCCAATGCAGGATCCTGCCCAACCTGTTAGCTGTCTCCTCACCTCTCCATGATCAACTCACAATCCAATCACCTCCTCTCTTGTTGCCTCCCAAAACCTACCGTTCCTACTATAATTAAGCACGGCCGTTAATTGTCCACCCGAAAACCAATTATGATCACTAATCCATTTGTATTAAATAAAAACCAAATTGCTAATGATCTAATCGATGACACCAATCATGATACTCCCTACATAATAAAAAAACGAATATAAAATTAGATGTGACGCATAGTAGTACTACGAATCTGAACATATTTATATTTAGATTCGAAGATCTAGAATATATCGTATCTGCTACTATATTTATGTTTTATGAGAGATGAAGAGGGTACACATGACAGGTGGGAGGTAGAATTGAATGGAGGTATTAACTAACCAAGTGGCTAATTAAACTAGTTAATTAATTGCAAGCTAATTAAGCTAGCTGATAACCATATATATAAACCCCATTGCACCTTGGCAACCAAGAAGGGCGAGAAGCCAAGAAATCATCTCTCCATCCATTGCTCGCAGATGGACAAGATGATGCGGAGCCAGGGCGGCGGCGGTGTCGCCGGCGAGTACCAGTACTACTACCATGGCGGCACCGGCGCCGGCGGCCTCGTCGACCAGGAGATGGCCGTGGCGGCGCCGGCGACGTCCGACGACGACGGAGTGGTGCTCCTCATGGAGCTTCTTGATGGCGAGGAGGAGATGGGGGACGACTACTCGCCGTCGCCGGCGGCAACGACCGACGGCGACGGCGACGCCGATCAGCTGAGCCGCGTGATCCGGTCGCTCGAGGCCGAGATCGGCGGTGGCGGCGCCACCGGGGCGGTGGCGGCGGCGACGGCGACGAGGGACAGCGACGAGAGCATGGCCGCCGCCGGGCCGGCGAGCGACGACGACGGCGCAGCAGCAGCTGGGATCAGACGGCTGGAGGACATGTTTTCCGACGACCTCGACGGCTACGGCGGCGGGGCGTTCGGGTACGGCTGGCCGCCGGAGTTGGCGTTGCCGGCGGCGGCGAGCTGGTGCGTGTACGACGACGAGCATTTGTACTATGGAGATGGCTCCATTGATGAGCAAGTGTACAGCCCCTTGTGGGAGCAATAAATATGAATAAATCGATGAATTGTTGTAGAAATTAGGGAAATAGGTTGATGTGCATAGAGTAAATTATGAAAATCCGTGGATATATATCACAGTGTTAGCATTTCTCCAGAAAAAATTGAAAAAAAAATATTTGTACCAATATAAGCTCTGCTTGTTCAGTGTACAACGTACCCTGCTTGCCAATCAATCCTCTTTTTTTTTTCCTTGAGAAATTCTAACAAATGCCATCAGTAAAGTGCATAAATGAGTTTGTCTTATAAATGCCATCATATGCAGGTTTTCGTCCATCCCATTCAGTTAGTCCGATTTTATTTATTTAAAATGTCTAAAATGCCCTCACAAAACTTTAACAAACTCATAGGCGCGGCTCATATATGGTTTAACTTATGGGTGGGCACCTCGGCGATGAGTGGGCAAATGAAGGCGATAACGAAAAGGGATAAAATTACCCGTAAGATGGCATTCGGTAGAACTTTACATCTATTAACGACATATGGCTTTATCTTTTCGCTTATGCTTATGCTCATCAGGCAAAATTTAAATTGTTAACCTTAAATTTGGAGCTGATTTTAAGGTTTTTTTCATCGAAATTTATTTTTCAGCATTTGCTTTTATATCGCTAAGAACATGTATATAAAAGTTTTATTCACAAATTATTCTTTGTTTGCAAATATGCTGTTTCACTTATAATTCCGATGGCTCCGATAATGTCGATGGTAAAATTTAGAATTTCTCTTTTTCCTTCTATAATCGAAATAATGCGCGCACCCCCTGATCGTGTCTCGTGGGGCACGTCCGCCTAGTGTAGTAGTGTTGTCCCGGCCATCACCTTTGTGAATTCCTAAAATTCAATATAGCTTAAATAAAAGGGTATAATTCGGTTAGGATAGCTTCTCACGGATCTAATGGATTCAAATCTCTGGGCCTGTTTAGGGGAAGATTAACATTATGAGAAGCTACTGGTTGGTAGCCAATTTATAAGAATATGAAAAAACTGGGTTTTTTTAGCTCCTGACTTCTAGTTCATTTTCTGAATTATATAATTATTGCATTTTCTCTCCTAATTCCTAGAATTTGTTTGTTTGGATGTGTTCAGGGGTCAAAGCATGTGTAAGGCTTGGCCTTCAATCGTATTTAGACCCTGTGTTTGAACGCTCCGTGTAATCGTGTGGACATGAGTATATATGGTGTTTGTGTGAGCGTTGGCTTGTACTTGAAAAATCGCAAAATCTAATTCGAGAGCACTCTCAATTTAGTCATAAATAGCGACGGACATCCAGAATCCATATATGTGTTAGCTGGAAGAATCTTACTTTACTATAGTACTAATCCATTAAGTAAGTAGGGGAAATATTTCTATTATCTATGCTTCAAATAAAATTTTCTTTTAAATTACTAATCCGATTATACCGTTGTGTTCGTAATAATTAAATCTTTACAACAAGATCTCACATGATTATATTTTGATGAAAAATCACAAATTACTTTTATGATATGTCTAAATTACTTTTAGATTTCACTAAGTTACTTCTTAGACATATAAAAGTAAATTTAGTAAAGCCTAAAAGTAATTTACATATATTATAGAAGTAACTTATATAAAAAGAAAGTAACTTTAATTAATGTTTTTTTTCATTGAACAAATTATCATATATATAATTTACTTTTTAGATTTGATTAAAATACTTCCTATACATTCGTAATGCTTTGAGGTGATTACTTTTATTATTGTTTTTAGTTAATTCCATAATTTGTGCTGATTAATTTAATTTCTAGATAGAGTCATGTTTTTATTTCTACAACGGATTTAATTCAAATGACATGCCGAAGTTACCTTCGTTTTGTTCTAAGTTACTTCTATAATATATGTAAAATACTTTTAGGCTTTACTGAATTTACTTTTATATATCTAAGAAGTAACTTAGTGAAATCTAAAAGTAATTTAGACATATCATAAAAGTAATTTGTGATTTTTTATCAAAATATAATGATGTGAGATCTTGTTGTAAAGATTTAATTGTTATGAACACAACGGTGTAATCAAATCGTAGATCGGATGAGTAGTTTAAGAGAAAATTGTACTTAAAGTATAGGTGGATGGTGTTTTTTATAGATAGAATGGTAGCTGATTTAGACAAACTAACTACCACTAGCTGTGTAGTTACGTCCTTGAAAAATGTAAGAAAAATGAATAACTTCAAAACATCCAAGTAAATGAGACTGGGCTGAGACAAACCTTGGGCCAGAAGAGGACGACCGGGCTTCTGTTAGTGTTGAGCTTTTCATAGGCCGATGGTGCACTTGGCAATTCTACTCTGTGGAGGCCCAGCAACCAAGACCCTCTCTCTCTCTCTCTCTGTTTTTTTATTAGGACTATCTTTAAAAAAACTATCAAATCTAACTATAATATAATTCAACTATAACTAAAATATAAATTTTATATAAGTATTAAAATAATATATGCAACTTTATATGTAGAGACTACAATGTAGTAACAATGTAACTGTAGTATAATTACACTGTAGTTACACTACAGCTATATTATTTTTGCACAAAAAACTTGCGACGGTTTTTTAGCAATTTCGTTTTTGTTTTGCTGGAAGCTGCTACCAAAGTTTTTTTTTTAAAAAAAAACGAGATTTGGAGGGACTCCCTCCAAACATTTTGTAAGAAGAAATTGTGAGCATGTTAAAAATTAAACATGAGACTTCGGGGTTAAAATCACACACCTCTTACCACTGCACTATCGGTGCATGCTAGGCTACCAAAGCATAGTACCAATCACGCATTCACACTCGATCTGTATGCACAGTCAGTCTGGAGCTGGGACACAATGGCTTTGTGGATAGCTTTGCTTACAAAATGCAAAGCATGTTGAAATCTCTGGCATCTTTCTCAAAGGTCACTTCATCGATCTAGTTGTGTACAAGTGGCTCGTCCCCTAATTAATATAATCAGGCAACTTTAGTTATTTTTCACCTTTTGAAGTTACACGGTCTTAAAGTGAGCCAAGACGTGCTTGGCTGAGTGCTGTGCCGGTGTGCTCAGGTAAAAAACGCATGTCTAGTAACTAGAACTACGTCCATCTAAAACACACTGTTCACCTTTTGTTCCTGATCTATCCATGTCGCCTTTGCTAGTCTTCCTTTAATTAGTCACTCAATCAACTAATTATCTAGTCACTCAATCAGCTAGGTTTTCCACATCAGCCATGCAAACAGCAAAAAGAAAACAAGAACAAGGCAAAGCATGGTCAGCAAAAAGAAAACAAGACCAAGACCAAGGCCAAGGTAAATCGGGATCGATGGCATGCGTGGGTGAGGAGTCCCGGTGGCGGCGTGATGGATAGCAGAAGACGCAGGATCCGTAGCAGATCACTGTGGAGAGGGATTCGATGGTGGTGGCAGCATGGTGGAGAAGGGGGCGCGGGCATAGGGTTTCTGGGTGAGTGCAAGAGAGAGAGAGAGAGAGGATGGGAGTGCGGTGGAGAGGGTGTGCGGAGATGGGCGCTAGCTTCCGTGCGAGAGAGGAGGGGAGGTTGAGCATGGGATGATCTCTTGAGTCGTTCAATTGAATGTGGATGAATACGGTTAGTTGGATTTGAAGAATGAGTAACGCAGGTGTAAAACTCAGTTGGTGAACTATATGGTAGGTGCAGGATTGCACCTGTACATAGCAACATGGATCTGAATTTGCTAATTACCGTGTGATCGCTCCCCGCAATCACCTTTTCCCCTTTTTTTTTCTTATCTTTTCCTTTTCTAGAACCGCATATTTATATACCTAAACTTTATATACGAAAAGTTTATACACCTAAAGTTTACACACTTAAAAGTTTATAGTCGGAAGTTTATATATCCAACTCAAATTCATATTTGAATTTAAATATTTTTTTTGTTATTACCAAAAGTTTGTACCTGCAAAGTTTACAATGTATATATATTTTTATGTATAAAGTCTATACCCATGTATATTTTTAGCGCATTTGATTTTTTTTCTTTTTTGGTTGTTTTTTAATCAATCTAAAATATATTTTTAACAAGTCACACCGTGGGAGGGGGTTGGGAGTTAGGGTGGGAGTCGTGTGCGCCTCGGGTGTGGGCCAATCGCGTGCCATGATCACCCGCCCATTAGGCGCTCCCGCATGGATCTATTATATTTGTAGAGATAGATAGTAGTTTATATATCCATGTCGGGTTGATGTAGTAAACATGCAAAATGATGGAAGATGGTTATACATACTCCTTTCGTTCATAAATTAATCTTTAGAGTACACGGTTTGGTTCATATTTATTATTAAAAACATGATTAAACTCTTAAAACTTTAACCCTCAATAATTTCTCGATGCTTAGTTTAGAAATAAAAAATGGCATTCAAATATTCAATGATTTGCCTCCAATCTCTGTCCTAATATATAAACCTCTTACACTTTATAAAAATAATTTAATATTAAACTGATGGCCTAAAGTTTCATAAAAGTTTGATCATATTCTATCAAAAATGTCAAATATTTATGTCCTCGGAATGGGTATATATTATTCCAATATTGATTAGACAACCTACATACGTGGATATGCCAATCGACAATAGATTCATCAACTGAATTACCCAGAAATGGAATTGAAATTGCCAACCACAACTGGTCACACAGGACATGCATGTAGTGCAATACTTGGGAACTAAGTATATGCATAGCACATGGATTCCTCGAATGATTTGGTAGGTGCGTGGCTTTACATACGCGCTTAGCTTCTTTTTGTTGCTTTCGAGTACAATGTTGCTTTAGAGCAAAAATCATATCGATCGATCGTGTAAAACTCACCAAGTACACCAAACATATTATGAATGGTCCATCCCACCGACACCGATCGATCGGGAATTCGGGATCACACAATCATCCCAACATTATTTACCTTTACATACTGTAATAAAAAGGGTCTCCACAGAGTTAAACTTCTTAACAACCACTGGAGTAGCCATTATCTTCTTCCTTTAATATATGTGCAATTTAGACTTGTCCTATAATTGAGAAAGATATTGAAATAGTTGTGTGCATTCATAGTTATTGTTTAGGTTTACTGCTATTCATTGTTAAAAAAAAATACACGTAGTATTGTGTTGAAATTTTCCTTCTTGTGACCATTTTTAGCTATGCACATGAACATAGCCGGAAATAAGATATTTTTGAGATGGAGGTAGTACAGTGATGTGATGGAATTGTTTCGTAAAAATGGTCAACATAAAAGAAAATAACATCACAACCTGATAAAGAACAAAGTCAAATTTTGTGAATTAATATTTGACATTATTGTCACATAGTATATCATATAGCCCAAAACCTCAGCCTTTGGCCACCATGAGGTAGCTAGCCCATCACCATGCATTATTTCCCCCAAAGCAGATTACTTTTTCCCCTTGAGATGGCAAAGTAGACCACTTAGTGCTCCCTAAAGCACCCTTACCCACCTAGCAAACGACACACAGTCATCAGTCATCACACCACACAAAAAGCAATCACTCATAGAAAAAAGGTAAAGAAAATACTCACACAAACGAGATGTAAAGAATTCTACTAAATCTCACACTAGACCATACACCTTGCAAGACTAAAACACGGTAACAAACAACAAACTCAATCTAAGCACGAGGAAATTTTTTATTTCGACTGTAATATTAGACCCATTTCTCTCGTAGCATCTAAGTAACAGTGAAAATATCTCGACGAATTATATAATAGTGTCGCTCACTTCTACAAATATATATGCATAAACCTATTTACAATTGAAGGTTGGAAAAAACCAGCGGTGAAATGCACCACATTCTTAGAGAAGGTTTGTTATGGTATGACAGAAAATACCTCGAGCTAATGGTACTACTGGGTACCAAATGAAATCTAGCCGCTAAATTACTAGCGCCAGCTGTTGAATTTGTATTCCCCCTCACTATCTAAATTGAATTATATTTACATGTTTATAAAGTTATATATGATATTACAATCTAAACCATTTAGTTTTTTTAACGGCAAGATGAGCTTGGTAAGAATGGTTTTTTTTCGAAACACATGAATAAAAAGAAACCCGTAGGGTTAGAGTGACCTGGCACCTAAAATCCTACAAATGGAAATACATAAGAGAACTAATAAATATAGAAATGCCTATGTTGGATGGAGTGTATAAAAAACACAAGTATATCAATGGAGGATTTTTTTTCAATGTAGAAATGTCTATGCACAAACAAATTTTTTTTTCAAGATGTTGAACCTCATTTTGAAAAATCCTTCAAAATTCCTATATATGATTTAAAGACAACTCTAATGAATTCCAAAGCAGTTTAGGAGAGCCATTTATTTATTTCGAAGGATATCCTCCAAAAATTCCTTCAAAAGCCATTTGTTTCCTGCCTGAAGGTTACGAAGGTCGAAGGCAGAGCCGTTGCCCCACCAACGTTCGAAAAAGCCGTTTCCCTCCCGGTTCTTCCACCACCTCCTTCCCCCTCTCACAAAAAAAAAAAAAAATCGAAACCAAATCGGAGATCAAAAGCGAGCCTGCATCCATCAGCCGCGATCGCCCAAAAAAGCAAAAGCCCACCTCCGCCTCTGCGCCCGCCGGCGAAAAAGCGGTAAAGCTTAGTGGCGAAGGCGAAAGCCAAAGCCACCCCACCCTCGCCGGCATAAAAGCCGCCATGGCGCAGCCTTTGCGCGCGGAAGCTGGCCTCCTCCTCCTCCTCCATCCTTCTTCCTCCTGTGGCCGCCGCGATGGAGGTGGAGATCGTCGAGGTGGGGCCGTCGAGCCGGCCGCTGCGGTACGTGCCGGCGCAGCAGCGGTGGAGGCCGACACCGACGCCGCTTCCTCCGCCTCCTCCCCCGCTGCCACCTCCTCCTGCCGCCTCCGCGGCGTCGTCGTCGGGCGCCGGGGACGCGGCGGCGGTTGCGTCCGCGGCGAATCAGTTCGACAGCGAGAAGCTGCCGCAGACGCTGGTGTCGGAGATCCGCCCGTTCCTCCGCGTCGCCAACCAGATCGAGCACGAGTCCCCCCGCGTCGCCTACCTCTGTAAGAGCTCCTCGCTCCTCGTCCCCCGCCCCGCGCCGCCTTGCGTCTCTCTAGTTTTCCTGTTCTTTTTTTTTTTTTTTTTTTTTGTCCCTGGTCCGCCTGCGACGTGTTCGTCGAAATGCCGAAGACGAAGTAAAGGGAACAGTGAATGCGCTTGAGCGCTTGAGGCGTGGGAGTGGGACGGATTGGACGCTTTTGCCGTTTTGAGATTCTACCCGAGATGATGGCGTATGAGGGGGTTAACGAGACAGGATAGAAGATTCGAGGTGGTTTTGGTGCCACTTGTTCCGGCTTGGGAATATTCTGCGATACTCTCTCGCTGGAAATGATGGTTAGTGATCCGAGATACTACCCCGTGTTTGGTCATCTGCTGCTGTCATGCATCTTCCTCAACCTATGCTCCCAAGATTCCTCGAAGTGAAAGAGATTGCTTGGCACATAATCGTCGGGAATATTCTGGAGTTCCCTTTAAGGGGAAAAGAAGAGATAGATATCAGATGTTAGCTGTCTATAATATCCAATGTTGAATGGTCTCTGCTAAGATTCACTTGTCAATTATCTATCATGGGCGAATCAGTTGGAGTTTATTCTGCACGGAACATTATTCTGCCACAGCTGTTGCATGTGTTCCCATGATTAGCTGAGTGGGTAGGTTGTTGGAAGCCTTGAGAGTTGAAACCTGTGGTGGGTTTACAAGCAGGCAAGTCAAAGGTACCATAGTTTGGGTTCTAAAATAAAGCCCTTAACCTTGGTTACAGAAGATCTCTTGTCCTTTCCTTTAGGTGACATAACTCATAATATTGCATCACTCAAGTGCTTTCCCTGGGAAATACCGAATACCTCTAATACAATCTTGTTCCAACCTAGTTAAACCTGTCCCTTTTTTTTCTTTCACATTGCTGAGCATTTTTTTGGTCAAAAGTTTATTTCCACTGTCCCTTTGTTTTTCTTTCACATTGCTGAGCATTTTTTTGTTCAAAAGTTTATTTCCACTATGTAACAAAGGATTGTAATCAATGGATGCTACAAAGAAAAAGGAAGTCTTGCCTATAAGAGTCACCTGCAAAATACTGAAAATGTGTCATTTGACAGGTCGATTTCACGCCTTTGAAAAGGCTCATATGATGGATCCACGTTCAACAGGGAGGGGTGTTCGTCAATTTAAAACTGCACTTCTTCAGAGACTTGAACAGGTGCATATACTGTTGCCAGATAATTGCATTCATTCAAGGTTTGTGTGATGCATTTAAGCATCATTTGTGTGCTTAGAGAACTTCCCTAGTTCTGTAACACAAATGCACCTTTTTTTTTCCTCATAGACATATCTTGTCACTAATTAGTACTAGTATCATCGTTGATTAAGAATGTACCTCATGTTGTATTTTGTTTTCAAACAGGATGAGAAAAGCACATTTACAAAGAGAATGGCAAAAAGTGATTCTCAAGAGATCAGATTATTTTATGAGAAGTAAGATTTTTTTCTCAGATCATACAAGTCGGAACTGTGTAATGTAGACTAGTTTCTGCAACATTATTCAACTCCTGAACCCAAACCAAAATGCGATTTCATTCCTGTTTCTGTATCTTTTTACAGGAAAGAGAAAGCTGATGAGCGTGAACTTTTGCCTGTCCTGGCAGAAGTTCTGAGGGCTGTTCAGATTGGAACTGGCAAGGAGGTAGGATATATTTACAAAACAAGATTTATTTATGTACCAAATGCTCAATATTTAATGCTTTCAATGAAATTGCAGAAACAGAAACGCATTGCTAGCGAAACTTTTGCAGATAAGTCGGCCTTATTCCGATATAATATTCTTCCTCTGTATCCTGGATCAACTAAACAACCAATTATGCTTCTCCCTGAGGTTTGCCATATTTTTTCCTACTGAAAATCTCAAAAAGTGTTCTTCAGATTTATTGTGCTAAAGGACAATTCAGATATGACATGCTTATAATACCAAGCGAATCTTCATGTTTGGTATGGTAAAAAAAGCTCTGAAACTTTCTTCACACTGGGATCTGTACCGAGTTGCCCAGATGGAATTTGGAAGAAAAATGATCAGACCTCCTTCCTACAGGATATATTTGCTCTACAAATAATGTGGCTAAGTAGCATAGTAAAGAATCATTTTTTTTAATAAATTAACAGTCTATGTAATTTTAGTACCAAACTTTCTCATAACAAAAAGCAATACATTACTCTAGTAATTTACTTGTCAGAATCCTAATACTTTTAACATGTTAATTATAGCGTTTGCAGTATGCATTTCAAGTGAAAATGCATGAATCAACTTGTGTGAAGTTAATTATAATCTATACATACTGCTTTTAGAAAAAGGTAGTGATGGTGGTGAATATGCTATTTCACCTCTCAACCCTACACTTTCAATATGAACTTTTAGGAAAAGGTATGCTATATTCTTATTTAGCCCTGCGTTTCTTTAATGGAAATGGAGGGCTCTGCCCTTTGCTCAAAAAAAAAAAAATCTTATTTAGCCTTCTAATATACAAATTTAACATGGAAAGTTTCAAGATAACCGGATTGCCACATATATATATGTAGTAGGCAATCTAATTTATGACTAGAATATAGAGTTTCGTAAACCTTGTAAAGTATTCACTGTAAAAACTTGAATTGTGTGTTCAATGAATCTTCCATTTGTTTAGAAAAATATTAGGACATGTATAATTTATTTTTTATCTACAGCAAATGCATGTGTATTTATCTAGTATACTTTTATACAGATCAAAGTTGCAGTGTGTGCGGTGTTTAATGTTCGCAGTCTTCCATTTGCTAACACCAAGGATCACAAAAATCAGATGGATATTTTTCTATGGATGCAAAGTTGGTTTGGATTCCAGGTAGACTAGTTATTTGTCTTGGTATTTAATTGTCAGACTAGTACCAAGTATTGTTCTCATGCAAATTGCATTTCAGCTCAGTATTTTTTTTTTGTTAGAAAGGAAATGTTGCCAATCAAAGGGAGCATCTCATTCTTTTGCTTGCAAATATGCATGCTCGCTTGAACCCCAAGTCATCCTCTGAAACAATGGTATTCATACGTGAATATTTTGCTTTGCCTGTCTTATTTCCTTCATATAGAATAACATTCTAATATGTCTTCTTTAGCTTGATGACAGAGCAGTAGATGAACTATTGGCAAAAACATTTGAGAACTATCTGACCTGGTGCAAGTTTTTGGGGAGAAAAAGCAACATATGGTAGACTGTGTTTTATTTCTCAAAATACTTGCACAAATAACTGAAAATCAGTTCAGGCGCATTTCTAGGAAGTATTGTCTTAACAACACCACCTCTTTGTATTGCAATCCACAGGTTGCCCTCTGTGAAGCAGGAAATCCAGCAACATAAACTTCTGTACATATCTCTTTATCTTCTTATATGGGGAGAAGCATCAAACTTACGACTTATGCCAGAATGTTTATGCTACATCTTTCATCATGTAAGTCTTTCCACTTCATATTTTCTCTGTGCTTGCAATGTACTAGTGATTCGAAACTACAGTTTATATTGGATCTTTCTTCAAATCATTTATGAACAATAGATTTATGCTTAAGTTGCCTTGTCTGTGCAGCTAAATTTGCATTGGTGGCAAATAAAAATACCATGTAAATGTAGTTTTTGTTTAGTTCTATCCTGTTTTATGTAGTACTACTTTTTGAATAAGTATTTCTTTAGCAAACTCTTAACGTCTGATTAGTTTCTGTCTTCCCAGATAAAGTTCTTGCTAAAAGGAGTTGATCTAGATAACTAGTGCTTTTATGTGTTTCTAATTAAAGAAACAAACCTACTTCACTTGTTCTAAGCAGTATATCTGGGTTCTCCAGTATAAATGAGGCACAGAATTTTTGGCCCAAAAGGTGTTCTCACTTTGAGAGATAAAGGTAACCACACTTCCTGTTTCAGATGTCGTATGAGTTATATGGAGTACTCTCAGGAGCTGTAAGCTTAATTACTGGCGAAAAAGTCAGACCTGCATATGGAGGAGATGATGAATCATTTTTGAAAAAAGTAGTGACGCCAATATACAAAGAGATATATGAGGTCTGATATCATTTTCTTTTCAACTTCTCAACTCAGCTTTGCAATTTTGAAATGAAATGCTCATCTACTTTATCTAATGAAGGAATCACTAAAGAACAAGAATGGAGTATCTGATCACTCAACATGGAGAAACTATGATGACCTCAACGAGTTCTTCTGGTTAGATACTATGCTTTATTGGGTAATAGCTTTTGCTAGTAACAGGTACTAATTTCTTTTACGGTGCAGGTCTGCAGATTGCTTCAAGCTTGGCTGGCCCATGCGCCTGAATAATGACTTCTTTTTTACGTCAAACAAAAATAAGAATTCTCGGCTTCCCATTGTTCCACCAGTTCAGCAAACCGAGCAACAAATCAACCAATTGAGAACATCTCAGCAAACTGATCAACAAAACACCCAATTGAGAACATCTCAGCAAACTGAGCAACGAAACACCCAATTGAGAACACCCAATGGATCCTCATCGTTTCAAAATATGCTCAATCCCGAAGCACCGGGGCAAACACAACAGGTACTTATTACCTGAAGAATGACTGTTCCTCGAACATTGCAATATTTCGATCATATATATAGGATTATGTACTTATCCCACACTAAACATTGAGAACATAATAGCTAATTGGCTAAATAGGTTGATATCCACTAGCATCTATGATGCTGGTTGTTTCATGCATGTGCTAGTTTTAATATTTAAATTTTGTTATATGTTTTTGTTTATTTTTTGGGGTTAATCATAGAACTATTGTTCTGTAGTGAGTAAAGCTACTCCCTCTGTCCCAAAATGTTTTCACAATCTCAGATGTAGAACTTTGGCTATGGATTTTAATCATGATATGCAATAAAAAAATAATATACTATCATATATTTTGGAAGTATATTGTATGAAAAATTAATTATATAGTATTTCCTTCATGTATAAAGTTGATTGACTTCATTGTAGGGTGACTTCAATTTTGGAAAAGGTGGTGGGGGTACATTTTAGTTTAAGAGGACATTGCAATGCTTTACTGTTATAAATAACTAATATGAATTCCCATGTCCTCAAGCTTACCATATCATAACTTTCTACAAAGTAACTCATCAAGCTGTTGTCATGACTTGAAGCCATGACAAGATAACCACCGCCGGAGGAGAGCCGGGCGATGTCGGCTACCGGGGAAAGGATGTAGATTTAGACTAGGGAGAGAATATTGGGGAGAGAGATTAGACTAATTGATATTCATTGCTTAACGATAATAGACACAATCCCATCCTTATATAGATGGAATAACTTGACTCCTAAGTAAGAACTCTATCTAATCTTATCTTAAGCAATCTTATCTCTAACTTGCCTGGTGTGGGCTGCCTATGGGCCTCGGCCTTTCGGCCTAATGCCCATGACAAAAGTTTAAGGCTTTTTCTGTACATTAACATCTCACATATGCATAGATTTAAGTGTATTTACATGAGTATAATTGTTCACTAGCTTTTGTTTAATTTTTCCTGGTATTGCATATAGCAAACTACAAGCGACACATCTCAACAGAAGTGGTTAGGAAAGACAAATTTTGTTGAGGTCCGATCCTTTTGGCATATCTTCAGAAGCTTTGATAGGATGTGGACACTCCTTGTGCTTGGGCTTCAGGTTTGGTTCTTACATTAATAGTTATGAAGTGTATACTTCTATAATTAATCTCATTCTTCTTATTCTGTCGGAACTTTTGGCGCATTTTGTTGTTGATTTTATTTCAGGTTCTTATAATAATGGCATGGCATGGATTAGAAAGTCCTCTCCAGTTACTTGATCCAATAATTTTTCAGGATGTTCTGAGTATTTTCATAACCAATTCAGTACTTCGAGTTATTCAAGGTTAATTTGACTTTTCATTTTTCTTATGTATGTTATTGATTGCCTTGCTTCGATGAATTAGTTCTTAATATACTGATATATCTATTTCGTTAATTCCTTGTGCTCTATCTTCACTCTTCTGTGATATACTTCTTTTGTGCAGTTATTCTTGATATTACTTTCTCATGGAGAACCAAGAGAACGATGAGATTTAGTCAGAAGCTAAGATTTGCTGTAAAACTTTCTATTGCTGTGGCATGGGCCATCATTCTTCCCATATTTTATGCTAGTTCCCAAAACTACTTGTCTTGTTCAGCTAGACGACCTAAAACTTTTCTGGGGATCTTCTGCTTGTCGAAATATATGGTGGTCGTTGCATTGTACCTTACAAGCAATGTGATTGGGATGGCATTGTTTTTTGTTCCTGCTGTAAGCAGTTTTTTAGAGACATCTACTTGGAGAATTTGCAATATGTTAGCCTGGTGGTGTCAGGTATGTTTAGCCCAACTCAAAGTTGAATATATGCTTACCTTTTATCTTGCATGTTGCATTTGATATTGGACATTGTTTCACGCCATAATTAATCCAGTGGAGTACATTGCGATTCATGTCAAGAATCAATTCAGTGGAATACATTGTCATGAAATTTATTTTCCAATACAAAATCAGTCATTGGGAGTTCAATATTTATTTTTATCCTTTTACAGAGCTTCTACATAGCTGTGTGCAGTGTTAGTTGACTTTCATATCTTGTGCATGATACTATAGCAAAATGAATTAATAATGATGATATGTGCAGCCTGAGTTATATGTTGGACGAGGAATGCAAGAAGGCCAAGTACCTTTACTAAAGTAAAATATGTGCATTACATTTCCTATATTTCATTTTGGTTATTTGATATGAACTAAACAGTCTTTCTACGCCTCACAGGTATACAACATTTTGGACAATTCTCTTGTCAAGCAAATTTTTATTTAGCTACTACTTTGAGGTGCTCTCTCTCTCTCTCTCTCTCTCTCTCTCTCACACACACACACACACACACGCACATACATACTAACTCAGATTAAGCCTCCTCCTGACCATTTTGTTTTATAATTAAACCACCCCCTGACCATTGATTATCCAGATTAAGCCTCTTGTTGAACCCACGAAAGAAATTATGAAGGTCAATGTGAATAAATATGAGTGGCATGAATTCTTTCCTCAAGGTGCTCCCTACACTCTTCATCTGTTTTCCCTTTTTCACTCAATATGGTATTTGCAGTACTAGTTTACACTCAAGCCCATGTGATCATTTTTTTTTTTGGCACCAGTCAAAAGCAACGCTGGAGCTATTCTTGCTGTATGGGCCCCTATAATTCTTGTAAGGACTCTGTAAACCTTTATATTAATTTGGATATGGATCAGAAATTATATAATTGTCTTTACATTTCCAACAGGTCTATTTCATGGACACACAGATTTGGTATTCTGTATTCTGTACCATCTTTGGTGGTATGTGTGGTATTATTCATCATCTTGGTGAGGTGAGATCAGGTGCCATAAAAACTGGAATTTATTTCAGGTGTTTATATATTCTTATTTGGAATACTCATCTAGATTCGTACAATGGGAATGGTGAGAAGTCGATTCTGTACCTTGCTAGAGGCGTTCAATACCTCTCTTGTTCCTCATTCAATGATGACAAAGAAAAAGGGAATATTGCCTAGTTTCTTGGAAAAGAAAATATTTAAGGTGAAAGCTCTTCATCTCCTCTTTGGTTGTTGTTGTATCATATCATTTCTTCCTTCTTGCCCTTTTCTTAGATGATGTTCAATTTCAGAATTTTGGTAAAGCTGAAAGACATGATCCAATAAAGTTTGCTCTTGTTTGGAATCAAATAATAAATAGCTTCCGCTCAGAGGATTTAATAAGTAATAGGTAAGGCCTGATCTTTTTACTGCAACTTAAACTTCATACTCTTTATTATTTGTTTTTGTTGATTCTGCAGAGAGATGGACTTGATGACAATGCCCATGTCACTAGAACATAGGTCTGGTTCTATTCGTTGGCCCATGTTTTTACTCGCCAAAAAGGTGTGCTGATCTACCCTATGATACGTAACATCCCATGGCAATATACTCACCTTTTTTGAGAGGCCACTTAAGTTAGTACTTCAAGTATAATGTAGTTTAGCACACAACCTGCCAATAGTTTTTTTTATCCTGCAGCCTTTTTTTTTTGCGTAAATACTTGAAAATTGTATATCAGGTTAGCTAAAAACTTTAATAAACTTACTAGGATAATTCAAATATTGGATTTGCTTTTTTTTTGTTAGTCACGAGAACTAGCTACTCTTTCTATACCACAAATTTTATCATCAATCTCAACCATGACGGACATAATTATTGTATCATTAGCTCTCATTTGGAAACTATTTGAAGTCTTTACTAATTTCTGTCATTAGGTATAATATCTCTATATATCAAATCTACCAACGAAAACTCTATATCATCTTATGCTCGTTTTCCTTCAATGGCAGTTTTCAGAAGCAGTAGATATGGTAGCCAATTTTACTGGAAAAAGTACACGACTCTTCTGTATAATTAAGAAGGATAATTACATGCTTTGTGCAATCAATGATTTCTACGAATTGACAAAAAGTATTTTGAGGCATCTGGTTATTGGTGATGTAGAGAAGAGGTAATCATTTTACTTCATCATACCTGTAATATTACTTTTTTTCTTGTTTCAAAGCTTTTCAAGTGCATGTCCCTGTGAATATTATTATGATGTTCTACAGATTCTATCCAGGGTAATAGCTGCCATCTACACTGAAATCGAAAAGAGTATTCAGAATGCAAGTCTATTGGTTGATTTTAAGATGGACCATTTGCCTTCACTGGTTGCCAAGTTTGACAGATTGGCTGAGCTTCTGGTAATAACCTTACTAACATTACTGTGATACTTCTATCTTTTTCCCTTTTGTGGTTTGGATTCACCATTTAATCACAGTAATATGTTGGTTTTCTTCTCCATTTTCTGGTTTTCGAAATTGGGAGGATTTTTGCATTGCATCTTTTGAAACCAATCTTTGGCCAGGTACAGGGTTTCAAGAACCATAAACAGACTTTAAACCAGAGGAGTTCTAGATTCAGCTTTTGTTAGTCAAGCTAATCTATTTCTTATTAAAATTTTGGAAACATATGCTTTACAAATTTGAGTTTTGGATATGAATTAGACACAACAATAAGAATGTTGCTAAGAAGTTGAACTGAACGTGGTTTGAAGTGAATCCAGGCCAGGTACCAGAACTTGGACTGGTTGTTTTCTATAGGTTTTTGGTGATTTCCCCTTTTATTTTCTTCCTTTTGAACCTTAGCCCATGATCAAAGGATAACAATTGTGATGGTAAAGGTGGCTGGAATAATAGAATTAATCATAAGGAATGGCAATGAACATGATGGAGATATGTAGGTTCTGTATCGGATAGTTACTTCCCTGGGGTTCAGGAAATCACGCAGGAGGACCGCGTTTCATTTCATTAAGGAGAAGAGAAATATTTACAAAAGAGAGATCGAAAGTGTCTCTCAAGAGATCCTAAAATGAAAAAAAGCGTCACAACATGACATTCCACTATCCTCTTTTCCCCGCCAAAAAAAAAAAACATGACATTGCCACTAAAAACAACCCATAAAAGGAACCAAACATCTATAGGTAGCGACCTACAAAGGATGGCAGTAGAAATTTGCAGAAACTTATAGCTAACAAAGAACTATTATACTGATGGGGAGTGGATATAGCATTTTTTTTAACATTATTGTGTTGATATATATAGACTTGGTTTGATTTTGTTTTGCCCGTATAATGAAATTTTCTTGTATGACTCCCCAGTACACGAACAAACAAGAACTTCGATATGAAGTGACAATTTTACTCCAAGATATCATTGATATTCTGGTCCAAGATATGCTTGTAGATGCTCAAAGGTAAGAATATATTTAATCATATCTTTCTCTCATTTTTTTTTTTTTGGTAACCACAACAATGACCTCTTCTTTCAACAGTGTATTAGGTCTGATTAATTCTTCTGAAACACTGATCTCGGATGATGATGGAACCTTTGAGTACTACAAACCAGAGCTCTTTGCATCTATCAGCTCAATATCGAACATACGTTTTCCATTTCCTGAGAATGGCCCACTAAAAGAGCAGGTTTGGGCCCACCTTTGATTATTTACAGACAGATTACGTATTCATAGTTGATAGTGCCTCCATTAATGATGAGATAATGTGGTATATTCAGGTGAAACGCCTCTACCTTCTGCTTAATACTAAAGAAAAGGTCGTGGAAGTACCGTCAAATTTAGAGGCTCGGCGACGCATTTCATTTTTTGCCACGTCTCTTTTTATGGATATGCCATCTGCTCCGAAAGTCAGCAGTATGCTGTCATTTAGGTAATATCTGTACTATTAAAAACTTTCTCGAACTTATTTCAGTCTGTTTTGATTAATATCGATTTATAAAGCCTTTCCATTTAAGGCAGCCTATGTAGCATATCACCCATTGCTCTCTCACACAAATTATATCTAGTACTCTAGGCACCTTATGTCTAATGGTCATGGATAACCTTTCAAAATACCTCAGCAATTTAGCAAAATTGTAGCTTTTTTATATATAACTACATGACACCCCGCGTTTTGCTGCGGAAAATATAGATAAATATTATGTAAAATGTTGTAGAAATAGGGATAATTTAATGTTGAAATATTGTGGAAATGATATAAGGAATAATGATTTAGCATGCTTGTATGTTATAATTTGTAGATGTAGTATAGTTGCATTTTAAGTTTTAGTATGTACTAATAATTGTCATGCTTGCATGCTAACCTTTTGGTGTTTAGTGGGTCGATGTGACATGCTTAAGCATGTTAACTAATAATTCCTATGTTTGCATGTTGAGCTTTAGGCGCTTAGTGAGTTGTAACTTTATAGAAGGTATAGACATCGCACAACTAGACCTTTTCTAATAAACTACTCCATGCAACATCCACAGAAACCATCATGATTCTCATGTGCACTAACATGATGCCTATTATACTAATTTTACACGTTAATGAGCTGGTACAGCATATTTCAAGTTGTTTCATGGCATTGGGTTGACTCCATAAAAATCACAATACCTAGTGTTAGCACTCCTCAATCATCATGAAATTGAAGAGATTAAGGCCAACACAGACTGTATTATGTCTATTCCGACAATTCAAATGAGGTGCAAACCCTAGTAGCTTGGGTTAGGTAGGAATGCCACAGGTACATCCCCTTCCTCATGCCGCCTAATCCATTTTCGTCAAAGGTGTTGTCTGGTTGACTGAGCTTTAGTGATCTGCCTAATCACTGCATAGGTAGCCACACCTAATAGGCGGTGGCTGGCCATCTGGGTGGTGCCTGAGGCCAACTTTTCCATTGATATAAACGTCATCCTGTCAATTAACTCTTTTTGGAGATTCATACACCATCACAATTACAACAAAATCAGATTTAAGCAAGTATAATATACTTCTGATAGCACCCTAACATCAGGACACTTTATCCAGCATAATAACTCCATATTTCAACGAAGAGGTAAAGTTTTCAGAGGACGAACTTCATTCAGATCAAGACGAGGCATCCATCCTTTCCTACATGCAAAAGATATATCCAGGTCATTTGTCTTCCATAGCTAGATCCCTTCACTATTATTACAATTGCTTGCATTGATTTCATTTTGTTACTGAGATCTGGTATTCTTTTCCATAAAACATGGTCATGTTTCTCATTGTTTTAGATGAATGGAGAAACTTTTTGGAACGGCTTGGTCCAAAGGTCACACAAGAAGAAATCAGATACTGGGCTTCTTTCCATGGTCAAACATTAAGCCGAACTGGTAATCTACAGAAATATTATCATTTATTGTAAACTCGTCATCTAAGTCCATGTCTCCAAGCTGTCTGACTCTTTCTGTCATGCACTCTAGTCCGAGGAATGATGTATTACAGAAAAGCACTGAGACTACAGGCTTTCTTAGACAGGACAAATGACCAAGGTGCATATAGAATTTTCTGCTTCATTATGAAATTTAGAAATAGCTTCCCATAGCTGGTTGTATTTCAAACCAACTAGATCAGAAATCAGAATACTATCAGATAACAGTTCTGATGATTTCATACCTGTCACCTTCATACTTCTTTGGTTTAATTTTTTGAGCAAAAACTTGCACAGAATTATGCAAAGGACCTGCGGCGAATGGGCGACAAACTAAGAACATGCACCAATCATTATCAACTGAACTAGACGCACTTGCTGATATGAAATTTTCGTACGTCATCTCATGTCAGAAGTTTGGGGAACAGAAATCTAGTGGTAATCCTCATGCTCAAGACATTATCGATCTAATGACAAGGTATAATTTGAGAAATAGAAACCTGCAAATTAATGATTTATCACCTGAATAATGCTGATAATTGCCACTTCTGATGTGCCCAATAAAGGTATCCAGCTCTACGTGTCGCCTACATTGAAGAGAAGGAGATCATAGTAGATAATAGGCCTCATAAGGTTTATTCATCAGTTTTAATAAAAGCAGAAAACAATTTAGACCAGGTAATGATCTTAACTTATGATTTAGCGAGTACAGAATTCCATTCTTTCTTTAGATCTAAGCTTGTTTATATATCTTTTCAACATTTATTATTTATCAGTGTGACTGTACCTTTTAAATTATAATGTGTATTTCCATTAATATTCTCTCTCCAGCTTCTCGGATAATTGTGCTTGTTAATTATTTGCATAGGAAATTTACCGTATAAAGCTGCCTGGTCCACCCCTTATTGGAGAAGGGAAGCCTGAAAATCAAAATCACGCTATTATATTCACCCGTGGAGAAGCTCTACAAACAATCGATATGAACCAAGTAACTAATTGGACATTCTTCTATATTTTTTGTTTCTTTATAAAGACTGCTCATAAAGACTATCGTGCTATCAGGACAACTATCTGGAAGAAGCTTATAAGATGAGAAACGTGCTTCAAGAATTTGTTAGGCATCCTAGGGGCAAAGCTCCAACTATCCTTGGGCTTAGAGAGCACATCTTCACTGGAAGGTCTGTATTATTTGCAACATGTCTTTCAAACTTGTTTCTGTCTTTATATTTAAAGAGTATTTTCTCTATGTGTGTGCAGTGTTTCTTCACTTGCTGGATTCATGTCATATCAAGAAACCAGCTTTGTTACAATTGGACAAAGATTTCTTGCTGACCCCCTCAGGTGAAAGCATTCTCTTTGTTCTTGATCTAAATAGTTTTTGCAGTGATGGCACAAACTAACTTTTTATATTTGAGTTTCTGATTTGTATAAAGTTCATGTTACATGTGGCATGTGTTAGATATCGATTTCCTTTTACATCATAAGTATTCATACTCCGATAGAACTTTTATGTAAGAGGCCTATCTTTCTTTTTCAACAATTAGCCAGAAGCTCTAGCGTTCAATAAAGGATAGCACCAAAAATGGTCATTAAACTGCCTCCCTGTTACCAGCCCATTGATTCCTAGAGAGCATAATATATAAAAGCACTCTGTTATTTAAAAGGTCACTCCCATGGCTGCAGGGTGCGGTTTCATTATGGTCATCCAGACATTTTTGATCGGATGTTTCATTTGACAAGAGGTGGCATAAGCAAAGCGTCTAAAACTATTAACTTAAGTGAGGACGTGTTTGCTGGTAAGTTGAACCTTTTCTTCTGTTGAAACAAAATCTTTCTATTAAATTGATATGCAGTTGCAGCTTTAACATTTATTCTGCAGGGTATAATTCCATATTGCGCCGTGGACATATAACTTATAATGAGTACATTCAAGTTGGCAAAGGGCGTGATGTTGGTCTTAATCAGATATCAAAATTTGAAGCTAAAGTTGCAAATGGGAATAGTGAACAAACTCTTAGCCGTGATATCCATCGGCTAGGGCGACGCTTTGATTTTTTCAGGATGCTCTCTTGTTATTTCACAACAGTGGGATTTTACTTCAATAGTCTAGTATGATCTCTCTCCTTCCGCACACCAATTATCAGGACTACAAGTACTTTTTACTATGAGATGTGTACTAATGGTCCTTTCTTCAGCAAAGCTTAGAGTAGACTAACAACAAATAAGTAGAAAAAATTGTGCAAGAATTATAAAATTACAGTAAACATGAATCTGTTATTTTGTGTAACCTTTTCATTGTCACGTAGCACGTCTTTATTTATCTAGAGGTCCATTCAAATCTTACTTACAGTAAAAGAAGTTAAAGGGTCATCTTGTTCAGCAATCCCATCTAGCTGCTCTTTTTAAAGCTCTCTGGTTCAATCGGCTGTCTTTGCCAGCTCAAAATTGGTTTGAGAATGGCCTAGTCATATAGCCAGACTGGACTAAGTTTTTTTTTTTTTTTTTGAATTTATGGACTAAGCTTTGGTTCCCTCCTTTTTCTGAGATTAGCTGCTTTAGTATTCTGCTCTAATATTCCTAGTCCTTTTCTCTAAGCAGGCACATCATCAGCTGATAACAACCACAATCATACTGTTTCTCATTTTTTTGATATTTTTTCTGGCTATCTCGTTGGGTGACACATATTTTTTGGTTGGGTTTGCCTCCTCGCATGGGTGAGTGAGACTGCTGATACGCGGTTCTCCGGTTGAACTGCTGTTCATCGGTGCCATCCACCGGGTGTGGGTGGTTTGGCTGTGCATGCAGGCCAAGCATGCCCCTCCGTATTTTTTCAATAAACATTCAATACTCTAGGAAATAGCAGAGCAGCCTCTGACCTCTTTCACCTTGTTATAGTTATTATGAAAAAACATCTCTATACATCTGATTTTGCACCGATCCTTGAACCATTAATAGGTACTATGAACATGGCCATCCTTTTTATTTTGAGGAATGAATTGGGTTGATCCATCCCGTGCCATTCAATATGGCCACAATGACAGTAGAGCTGCCACAGAAATCAGTGGATGGTCAATTATGGACAACTCCATCCTAATATTAAGACTATCTTTCAAACAGGTCATTGGGAACAACTAGAAGGATGAAACCTGAAGTTTCCACGGTTACCTTTTGAGAATCTTATTCTAGAGATATTGAATCATTAACAATATTACCTTTTACACTTCCATGTTTAAATTTCATCGAAAACATATTCGTTCGATGAAATTTTGAATGTTTAAGGGTTTGACAACATTTATATGCTTCTTAATAATCATGATCCTTGCCTCCTTTGTGTCTTATTTGAATACACACAGGGGCACTGAGTCTAATTGTTTCAATTGGTCCATGTGTTTGCAGATATCAGTTGTAGGCGTTTATGTTTTCCTCTATGGACAATTGTATTTGGTTCTTAGCGGCCTACAGAGAGCTCTGTTAATTGAAGCTGAGACTCAGAATATGAAGTCCTTAGAAACTGCCCTGGTATCTCAGTCTTTTCTCCAGCTGGGTCTGCTTACAGGATTACCTATGGTGATGGAGCTAGGTCTGGAAAAAGGTTTCCGAGTAGCTTTGAGTGACTTTATCCTCATGCAACTGCAGTTGGCTTCAGTTTTCTTCACATTCTCTCTTGGAACAAAAGCTCACTATTATGGACGTACTATTCTTCACGGTGGTGCAAAATACCGACCAACAGGGCGCAAATTTGTGGCATTCCATGCAAGCTTTACAGAAAACTACCAGTTATACTCCCGAAGTCATTTTGTCAAAGGATTTGAATTGGTCTTCCTTCTGATAATTTACCATATTTTTAGAAGATCGTATGTGAGCACTGTGGTACATGTGATGATCACATACTCAACGTGGTTTATGGCAGTGACTTGGCTGTTTGCACCTTTTCTTTTTAACCCAGCTGGTTTTGCTTGGCGTAAGATTGTTGAGGATTGGGCAGACTGGACAATATGGATGAGGAACCAAGGGGGCATAGGAGTGCAACCAGAAAAGAGCTGGGAATCATGGTGGAATGCTGAGAATGCACATCTTCGTCACTCAGTACTGAGTTCTAGGATTCTTGAAGTGTTGCTCTCCTTGCGCTTCTTCATGTATCAATACGGACTTGTCTATCATCTCAAGATATCTCAAGACAACAAAAATTTCCTAGTCTACTTGCTTTCTTGGGTTGTTATTATTGCCATTGTTGGGTTAGTTAAGGTGAACGCTTAATCTCAAAAATTTCGATGCATTGTTGTTTCATGCAATTGTCTTCATTCATCCTCATGTCCATTTATTGGAAAATTCTAATGGTTGTGTAATACTCTATGCAGCTTGTTAATTGTGCTAGCCGTCGGTTGAGCTCAAAGCACCAGCTTGTCTTCAGGCTTATCAAATTGTTAATATTCCTCTCAGTGATGACCTCCTTAATCCTTCTCTCTTGCCTCTGCCAACTATCCATCATGGATTTGATCATCTGTTGCCTCGCTTTCATACCAACTGGTTGGGGCCTCCTCCTTGTAAGTGTCAACAGTATGGTAACCATTTATCCCAAGATTATTTCTCGTCTCTGTCACCCTAATGGTTTCTTGCTGGTGCAGATCGTTCAAGTTTTGAGGCCAAAAATTGAATACTATGCCATATGGGAGCCTATTCAGGTTATTGCTCATGCTTACGACTACGGAATGGGTTCACTGCTATTTTTTCCGATCGCTGCATTAGCATGGATGCCTGTTATCTCCGCCATCCAAACCAGGGTTCTTTTCAACAGGGCATTTTCTAGGCAGTTGCAGATCCAACCTTTTATTGCAGGGAAAACCAAACGGAGGTAATAACTGATGGCTTTGTTAATTGGAGTTGTGAATACGATCCATTGGTTGGTCAGGATGATAATAATTCTCTGTATCCTGGTGTACATATTATACGGTATACAGTGTGATCCATCATTCTTTAATTAGCCCATACGAGTTTGACGGATTTAGCATCTCAGTTTTTATGTAGAGTTTAAATCTAGACTTAGTTTTATCTTCACATACCATTTCTTACTTTCTGTAACACAGAAATGCCGTGCTATTGCTCTTGGACGAAAGTCATGTTAGATTATACAACATCACGGATATTTGCTCTCAAATTACTGAAATACACCTGTGATTTTATTGGGGATTTCAGCATCGATTCTTCTGTTTCTCAGAGCAGCTTTTTCTTGTTATGCTTGCTTAAAGTTTATTTTTCTATGCTATGTATATCACTTGGGAGTTTACATGAAGATATATTCGCGTAGCATTCTCATTTGTTTTTTGTGCCTGCAAGCTATCAAAGGCATGCTTTGTTCCAGGAGAGCATCTCTTGAGTTGAGTGTGAATGGGCCTATCAAAACATTTTTTTTTTATTCGTTTGTCTTGCGATCTGCAGCACTTAACAGAAGATTTACAAATGAATTTGAAAACGCTTTAAGTCACAATAAATCAGGATAACCAAAACATTGTACTACCTTTGTTTTGTTTATTGTGCCACAGTCTGAAAGAACTGTAATGCAGCAACAGTGTCTGGCCTAATACGGTAGTATAGCATAGTATAACTGAAGTTGGCCCACAGACCAACAGATTCCAGTTGATTTTGTAATTGAAGCCTCTAGCGCCGGGTCTGAATTCTGCAGCTGCAGAACTTGAAAGAAACAAATCAAAGAGCCACTGCATCATGCTTCGCTTCTCCAACTACATGTCTACATGCCTCTGACACCAACATAATCTGCGAGAGAGATGTCGATTTAATTAACACCACAAATTAATTAATTAAAACAGGGACCAGCAGCAATGCATAAGCATGTGCTACGTACCCTGGCTGCCCAAAAGAATCACGTTCGCGAGTGGCACTAGACTAGTACGTCCCAGCACTGCACATGAGTAAACATTTCAAAAAAACAAAGAATTGTATTCAGGAGCTAGGACAGCCGTAGGACAGCATGCAAAGACAGCAAGAGACGTAAGTACGCGCGTTACGAACACGGCAAGGATCGATGGAAATGCAAATGTGCATATGGCAGAATAATCTTACCATTTTGTATATACATTTACATGTGCACTTGTACTACTACAGAAATGGCAGAGATATGATGCAGTTAGAATGCAACTTGCAAAGATGAACTAAACATATACGGTGGAGGGGTAAAAAATTTCTCAAACCACAGCTCAACTAATGTAATTTTCATATATTAGTCTTTATTCTTCTAATTTTTTAAAAAAATTTGAAGTGTTATTCCCATGGGTATTTAGGGTCAGGAATAGGGATGCCCTACTCCTGGTTCCGCCCCTGCATATACTCATTTCCTCGGTTTTAAAATATAAGTATTTTTCAGTATGTTTTCAAAATGTATTCGAATGGAGGGATGTTCAGATATATTTTAACAAAAGAATACTCAGAAAAATACTTACATTCTAGTAGTAGCTAGCTAGCTAGTAGATGTAAATAAGCAAGTTGGGAAGTAGATCGGTCGATGAGTGTACAGTAGGCATGCAAAAATATGCACGCGTATTTGCGATGCTTTGCTAGCTGGGTGGAGGGAGCAAAGGAGAGGCCGTTGCATGTGACATGCATGTGGAAATGATCGACCCTGTTCGTTCGTTCGTGAGAATGTCCTACGGCCACCCACGCACATGCTTGCATGCTCCATTGGGCCGCATCGCATTATTTCCCCACTAGCTAGCTAGCTACCTTGTTTCCTTGCCCTTCCTCACCCTATATGCCCATGCCAATATGTCATTGTAGATAGGAAATCGTAGAATCTGAAAAGTAGCTAATGAGTACTCTCTCCATCTCAAAATAAATTTATTTTTTTTATTTTTCCTCACATATCAATACAAAATCAAAAAGATTATAATATCTGCATTTTATCAAATTGCAATACAATATATTATTCTTTACTTTATCTAACCCGTTGTGTTTTATATCAACATTTACAAAATTCCGATGCAAAATGATTATTTAAAAATAAATTTATTTCGGGACAAATGGAAGGGAAAAAAATTATTTTAGAACGAAGGGAGTACAAAGTTAGTAAGAATGTAAAGAATTTACTATCTCTGTCTTAAAATATACTAACTATTCCTACCTTTCTGTTTTAAAATTTACACTAAAAAGTTAACCATATACATTGGTACAGAGGTAGTAGATAATAATAATCCCATTTTCTTACTAGTCATTTTTGGATTCCATTACTCATTTTTGGATTCCATTGCTAGTTTGTGACTTAGTGTTAGAATCGGGATTGTCTGTGAAATAGCTAGTTAATTAGCTGAAGATTTCGGAGTAGCTGCAAGTAAAAGTGAATGTCAGAAACTTCCCAAACAGAGTACGTACGTCATATATACTTAATCTCTCTCTCTAACTGGTGTGTCAATATATATTATTGCAGCTGGGGGGAATAATTGATGATTAGAGGGGAGCATTAGCTAGAGGGTGGACTTTGATGGAGAGTCAGAATAATTTAACCAGCAAGCATGTTTTCTTGCTAACCACTTCACAGGCAGCATCATCCACACTGCACGTTGAGCGTATATGCAACGCTGGCTAGCTAGCTTATTTGCTCTCTCAAAGCCTCTCACCGAGTCACGTTCATGTGCCGTCGGCTATGCTAGCTTTATATCATTATATGTTTTTCCATCCTGATATATAATATAATATAAAGTATATAAATTAATTAACTGCAGCCAGACAGCGCATGACAGTAGGGAGCAAAATAAAGCTAGGATTTGCATGCAGGCCCACCGTTTCAACCCTCTCGATATATATGATCTTGGCTTCGCCGGGTAGCATCTCTAATAATATAATATTATTATAATTATATCTTGCTCTGTGTTAATTAAGTTACTTATAATATACTTACTCCGTTTCATAATATAAGTTATTCTAGCATTGTCCACATTCATATAGATGTTAATGAATATATACATATGCATATGTCTAGATTCATTAACATCTATAAATATGGACAATGCTATAATGACTTACATTATTAAACGGAGGGAGTAAATGATTTGCCAACAATTGTTTTTGGCATCGCTAAAAAGATTATCTTGCTTTTGCCGTGCGAATTGTCTTTAATTTCCACTGTACAATAGAACATTCATTTTCACCTTGGTGGCAAAAAAAAAACGAAATCTCCAAAATATATAGGACAAAGAACAAATAGAACATTCCATGTTCCAATCAAATTTACATTTTTAATTCTCTACGCCTATACAGTTAGGACGACAACTAACTGTATACAATCATGAGTTGATATACATAGAGGTACAACGCTCTTAAGTAATTACTTATATATTGATCTGTCTACTAATTAACTAATTATTAAGAATACTCCTAGTAAATTTGACCATGAGATGGAGATATATAATCCATCTATTTCGCCCCAAAAATGGGCTAGCAATGAGGACCAAATATATGATGATTTTACGCCTTTTTAAGGATATATAGAAATGACAATTGAAGAAGGGTACTTTTATTTTTCCAAGATGGATCACTAAAATTATTTGTTACAACAAGTCTTACATAGTAATTAATATAACTGAATGAGTATACAAACAATTAGCTAATTCCCAAAATTGCAAAGCATGAGTCATTAAATCCGACAATTTCTTATATAGGTGTTTTTAGAAAATAAAATCATTTATAGTTTTTGATGAAAATTTGTACATGTACACATAGGTTCCCCTCCCTAATATATTATAGGAGGAGGCAGGCATTTGTCGAGTGGGAAAGAGAGCGGGAGAGAGAGAAAGAGATGTGGATAAGGATAAGTTGATGGGGTGCATGGGAAGAGGGTTGGATAAGGTCGATCAGTCTAATCACGGTTTTTAAATTAATCGGTACCTATAATTCCCACTCGACAAACGCCTGCCTCCTCCTCCTCCTCCTCTTCGTCCGCCTCCCCTCCCCTCCCCTCCGGACACGGTTGGTGTGCGGTTTCTCCTTGGGTTGGTGGGAAGCATGGCGATGTTGCGGCACCGGATCCGACGGCGACGGCTTCTCCCACGGGCAGATCTGATGGCAGCGGCTTCTCTCGTGGGTGGATCCGGCGGTGGCGGCGTCTCTCCTCTCTCCAACCCCACCACCACAGCCCCTCCTTGTCCCCTCTCCACCACTGTGGCGTCCATCCTGGCCCCTCGACGGTGGCGACTCTTGTGAATTTGATTGGGGGAATCGATGGTGGCCTAGATGTGATGGGGGAGCGGCTCGCCAACGCATCGAGCAAGCTTTTTTTTTTTTGCATTCGTGCAACATTAAAGGTATTGGTTCCTAAATCAATACCTTTGATTCCTCCTGTGAGGTGTCGGTTGGAAAATCCAGCACCATGTGGGGTTTCCACGGTACCTATTACAATTTGTATAGTAGTGATTTCAGGCGTCTAAATATTTGCAAATTTTTAGTGACCTAAAATAATACAACTACATCGAATCTTACGGCACCAAATGTACACCATACTCCCTCCGTCCCGTAAAAAAACAACCTAGTACCGGATGCGATAAATCGTAGTACTACGAATCTGGATGGACATATGTCGAAATTTGTAGTACTAGAATATGTCACGTTCGGTTTTAGATTCGTTTTTTATGGGACGGAGGGAGTAAGTTATAAACTCTAATATGTATGAGATAGTATAGAACTAAGAAAAATGTCTGAATTAATTATTCCCTTAACTTTTGCAGTAGTTCATTTACCACTTCAACTCTTATGCCAAACATTTTGTCCTAGGTTTCTCAAACTGAATGAATTACTCCTACTTAATCCGGATCGGTTTTTCGTATCTAGCTTCTTAAAATATCAGCCTTTTCAAATCTCAGCTCCCTAGCTAAACAAGAACTAAATATATATGGTGGGGGGGAGGGCAATAGTACTATGCTGTCGAAAATTCACTCAAGTTAAATTCAAGTCAATGCAATTTTGCAAACAAGCTAGGGGACCACACCTTATTATTATTATTATTATTATTATTATTATTATTATTATTATTATTATTATTATTATTATTATTATTATTATTATTATTATTATTTTGGAGAACTACCACACCTTAATTTGAAGCCCTAATTGAAGCCAACGCGAGAAAAGGCGCCTCATGGATTCGGAATGACATGTATTTTCAGTAACACCAGCAAAGCTAGGATATCATTATCTACGATCTCCAGTTCGTAGTTTTCATCCTTGCAAGAATCTGGATCTGGAAAGCAAACAGATGCTCGATTTGACGTCCATTGCAATGGCATGGTTAGTGTGCCAAATTTTTTTTAAGTATACGGACACACATTTAAAGTATTAAACATAGACTACTAATAAAACAAATTACAGATTCCGTGTGTAAACTGCGAGACGAATTTATTAAGCCTAATTAATCCGTTATTAGCAAATGTTTACTGTAGCATCACATTGTCACATCATGACATAATTAGGATCAAAAGATTCGTCTCACGATTTACATGCAAACTGTGTAATTAGTTTTTTTCTTCTATATTTAATAATCTATACATATGTCTAAATATTTAATGTGATAAAAAAGTTAAAAGTTTGATGTAAAAATTTTGAATCTAACCACGGCCGAGGTATCCATTGCATATAGTGACATGTCTCTCACTGTCTCTCACACACACATACTGACACACTGACAGTGGGGCCCACTGAATGCAGCACGTGGTTTCCGAGGCCGGCCCTGATGATGAACCAACCGCCAGCTGAAGCCTCAGCTCCAGAAGAGGAGCAGTACGTGCAGGGATAACGTACTCTCTCTCACTCACCGGCCTCTGCAGCCACTCCATGCTTAACCGCAACAACTACCCCCTCTCTTCCAAAATACGTATACTCCATCTATATCAAAATAAACTAAATTTAGCATAGGATATGAAATATTCTAATACTTTATTTAAATTTATAGTGCGATGTATATATTACATATTATGTTTGTTTACTTTAAAATAAATATAGTAATTAGATATATGTCTATTTATAATAGTATGATGTGTCTTATCCGATTTTAAATTACTATATTTTGAGACTTATAGTAGTACTCCCTTGGTCCGAAAAAGGATAACTTCTGATGATGAATTGTTTGTCTAATTTATCTCTAAATTTTATTTTTTTAAAGAGGATGTAATGGAGATCGAGAATTGCATATACTGCTCATCTACTGCTTCATCTGTATGCATGCACTGCACAATAGTACTAGTACTACTAGTAGTAGTAGCACTGTCTCTCACTTAGCTGTTGCTAGCTGTCCCCTTTCCCCCCATCATGTGACTTCCATCCTTGTTCCTAGCTGCATGCAATACCTTTTCCCATTAAAAAAAAATAGTACTAACAAACTCTTCTTCTCTAACTAACTATGTGACTAATTACAGGTTAAACCATCTCATCTCTTATATCACCCAAAGCCCTTCCACATGCCATCAATTATCACACATTGCAACTTACACCTTAACAGCTTGCAACAGGTAATAATACTGTGTGTAGTTAGTTTGCTTAGCAAAGTTGGTGATGACTTAAAAAAAAAGAATCAGCTAGACATGGATTAAGCTTTTTGTGTATGAGTGTATTGTCATGCATGCATGGTAGTATACTATGGTAGTAGTCCTAATTACTAACTACCAAATCTCTTGGATCTTGATACACTTGTTGCATGCATGGCTCTAATCACATGCATGATGCTAATTAATGCTAGCTAGCTTTATATGATAGCTTGCACTCACACACACACACACACAAATGCATTGCATATATATGCCCCCACAATTGCATACTTGCATGTGCCATCTATCTTTCCACAATATATACTCACCTTCACCACCTATACTCACCTTACACATTCTCTCTTTGCTATCTCTACTTGCACATGTCATACATCTAGACAAGGACACTAGCTTAGCTATAGCTAGCTACTAGCCTACTACTAGTAGTAGCCTAGCTAGGAGGAGGAGGAGCTAGGATGGCGCAGTTGCCGCCGAGGGCGCCGAGCGCGGCGGCGGCGGCGGGGCAGGAGTGGTCGGCGATGGCGGCGGCGGGGGAGTTTCTTGGGTTCGCGGCGGCGAGGAGGGGGGCGCACAGGAGGTCGGCGAGCGACTCGGCGGCGTTCCTGATGGAGGCGGCGGTGCCGATGGACGACGTCATCGTCGGCGTCGGCGGCGGCGGCGAGTTCGACCGGCTCGACGACGAACAGCTCATGTCCATGTTCTCCGACGTCGAGGCGCCGGCGGTGTCCGACGGCGGCGGCGAGAGGGGGCCGGCCGGGGAGGCGCACCTCATGGACATGGGTGACGGGGACGACGGGATGGGGGCGACCTCGCCGGCCGGCGCTGGCGCAATGGCGGCGGCGGCGGCCGCCGCCGCCGCGGACGGCATTGCCGACCCCAAGAGAGTCAAGAGGTTAGTGGCAATTAATTTTGCAGTAAAAATATTCTGTTTTTCTATTTACCATAAAAAAGAGTAATATTTATCCATAAACAATGTTAAGAGTAACAGTCATGTCAAAACAAAATTTCGCACAATTCCAAGCTTTGCACGATGTAATTTTCGGAGACAAATGCACAACATTTGAGTGAATTTTTCAGGTCTAAAATTCAAGAGAATTGTGCATAACAAAAAGACTTGAATATACATGTTCTTCCATGTCAACAATCTGCTTTACTGAAACATGTACTTGCCCGTAATTAACTGTATACTAAATGCCATGTGCATGAACCATTTGAAATTCACCAAAGACCGTGAATTCGAGTGACAAATCGTGTTGAATTTAGCTGTAATTCTGGCATGCTTTGCTTCTGTTTTCAGGATTTTGGCAAACAGGCAGTCGGCGCAGCGGTCAAGGGTGAGAAAGTTGCAGTACATCTCTGAGCTTGAGCGCAGCGTCACCACTCTCCAGGTGATCCATCAATTCAACTCTCTCTCAAAAAAAAACAAAAAGAAAGGGAAAGAAAACGACTGCAACTGAGCAAAATTCTCTCAAAAATGCATTTGTGATCTGAAATTCTGAATGTTTGGCTGATTGTTACTGCAGATGGAGGTGTCAGCACTGTCACCTCGTGTGGCCTTCCTTGATCATCAGCGGTCGCTGCTCACCGTCGGCAACAGCCATCTCAAGCAAAGAATCGCCGCCCTCGCACAAGACAAGATCTTCAAAGATGGTACCAAATCTCCCTATCCATCTTTTGCATAGAATTTTTACAATTGCAGTAACCGCAATCGTAAATGTTCTGAGCTACTCTTTTCAAACAAACTTGCGAAACTTGTTTATGATTGCTTTCTAACTAGCCATGAGGATCCTGTAAACATTTCAGTAAACTCATTCCCAAAAATTCATGTGCAATGCAGCTCACCAGGAGGCTCTGAAGAAGGAGATTGAGCGGCTACGCCAAGTGTACCACCAGCAGCAGATCAAGGCCACCGGAGGCGCCGACATCGCCACGGCGGCCTCAATGCAGGCCAAGCATGAGCTGCTGGCGTGCGAGGGAGCGGCGATGCGATAGCGGAAGGCCACCGGTGACCGGTGACCGTCGGCCGGTGGGGATTTTTTTTTTTTTTTTTTGGCAATTTGCCATGTGTAAGATGACACAGCTTGGTCAGTAGTTTTGTGCAGCTTGTTAAAAAGTTGGTTGATTTTGTTGTTTCTTTATAATGTTATGTTTCGTTTTGCTCATCCTAGCAAAAAAATTGTGCTGGGATGGGAGAATTGATGTGGATGTATTGTTTGGACCCCAATTACATTTGTCCAGAAAAGGTGGTTGCTTTCAGCAGTTTTGTGTATTCTTGCAAAATGCAGCTAATCTAGTTTATGCTAAGTTCCGATAAATGAAATGGAAGGAAACTGGTGACAACTCTGAGATAGCAATGAACTTATCTGATGTTTTGTACAAGTTTACAGTGTATAACAAATATCAGATAAATGAAATAGAAGGACAAATGGTTGCTGGCACAAGAGCAGAAACACCCAAACACAAATTCAGCTTTCTTTATCTCAAATTTAGCTGATTCAACTGGATCCTTCCCCCCTCCCCCTCGCATACAAACTATATAATCATAGCACAGAGAATTAAGAGCCGTAAAAATTTCAATTGAAACACAAACCGTGTTAGAACACAGAAAATAATAATTAGAAGCAAACTCATTGAGTACTCAACTATGTGACCAACATAAACATGGATGGCTAACAGCCATACAAACTGACAGATACAAAAGTTGTGTTGGGAAATGATTATAAAGGCTACCACAAAAATTTAAAGAATTTCAACAGACTGATTTATATGTTAGGTTAAGTGTGATTGATGCATTCATGTGACATTCTACTCTGGGATCATCTGTTCATTGTCTGCATCACCCTCTTGTTCTATTTGAGGTTGCTTTGGAGCTGAACTGGCTCCAGGAGCTTGCTTCTTCTTGATGCCACTGACAATATCATCGATCCTCAGGAGCATGCAGGCAGCCTCAATAGCTGTCTTGAATGTCTGCGCCTTGACACTGTACGAGTCCCAGATCTGAAAAGGATAGATAATGAGGTTTCAAGATGAATGCAAACACGCAAAAGCACAAGCACGAGGGGGGGAGAGAGACCTTCCGCTCTTTCATATCCACAATATCACCACTGCTTCCATCAATGCCAACCCAAGCATTTTCACCATTTGCATGCTGCAATTATTTGGCATGTTAGTGAAAACAAATCCAAGATAAAGCACAGGAAACTGTAAAACAATATATTATTCAACTAAAAAATATCATGATATACATGTTAGGCACAAAACTGAAGACAACTTGTTGAATTAATGAAGAATCAGATTTTACCTTTCCCTGAAGTTGTGTCATTGTCCTAATAACGTTCAGGCCACAATTCTGTAAAAGAGTTCTTGGAATTGCCTCAAATGCTAATGCGGCAGCTTCATAGGGCCACTGGTACACAGACAGCAAAGTTGACTTACATCAGTTGAGTTAATGATCACATAGATAATTATACCAAGCTAAGTTATACATGACCTATATCATACACATCATCGACAGCTCTATTTGAGAAAGAATACTACTAAAAGTATTCATGCACATACAGGAAGAGGTTCGCTATCTGCAGGTTTCATGCATTGGCTATCTGAAATCTGAATCATACCTTCTCTACACCTTCAACTGAAGAACTCTTTTGTTTCAATGTTGCAGATACAGTTAATTCAGTAGCACCACCTCCAGGTAGCAGTTTAGGGTTTTTCCAAATGTTCCTTGCCATAGACATAGCATCCTACAAACCAGAAAGTTTAGAAGATATATTTCCACTATAGAATATAACAGCATAACAGGGGAAAACATAAGCGCACCTGCAAGTTCCTCTCAACCTCATTCAAGACATCCTTGCTTGCTCCCCTCAACAAAACAGTACATGCTTTGGGATCTTTGCAGTCAACAATGAAGGCAAAGAACTCATCACCAAACTTCTTGACCTCAAAGAGGCCAGCTCCTGTTCCTACATCAGATTCTTGAAGTTCCTCTGGCCTATTCACTATAACTGCTCCACAAGCCTTTGCGATCCTGTTGTTGTCCGTCTTCCTGAGCCTTCGAATTGCACTTACACCAGCCTTTCCTAAATAATGGACTGCTAGGTCACTCAACCCTTTCTCTGTTATAACCAAATCAGGCTTGAATTTCAGAATCTGTGCACACAGGTTCTCTATATATTCCTCTTCCATCTGTAGCATCACCTGCCTGCAATAAGCCATTAAACCACAGTAAAATATATGCACAGAAGAATTTGAATTGCCTGTCTATTTTGACTTAAAATATGCATTCAGATCCCTTACCAATCTTCTTCTTTCATCAACTCAGCATTGGTCTGGTTTTCTCCTTTCTTGTATTCAAGAGGGCAATCCAGGAGAATGATGCGTGGGTTAACTATTTTTCTTCTCATTTTCCCAGGAGCAACAACATCTTTATTGATCATAACTCCTTTAAGAACCTTGGAATCTTCCAGCTGGCCTCCAGGAACCTTCTCTACTTTGATGTACTTCTTGATATCAACTTCACGAATGCCTTGACCCAGGTCAACACCAGCTGTTGTGGTAGCATCGATAGCAAGATCCTGAAGCAAGAAATTTTATTAGCAGCTCTAAAAAAGAGATACTGGAAGAAAATGGAGTTGATTTCATTTAAAGAAAGGTACTTACCGCAATAAGGTCACCAAACTGACCAGTAAATTTTGTACCGATGGAACTCTTCACCAGACCAAGCATTGCAACACCTAAATTATGAATTATGAAAAGCATCACTAATATGAATCTCCAAGAGAACTTCAAGAACAGATGATGATTCAAATAAATATTTGATATGCTGAACTTAGTCTACTTACGGTCGTCCACGTCAACAGGAATAGCAATCTTATCAAGAACAGATAGAGCATCGTCAAGAGCTTTGGTGTATGCTGCAAAAAATAAAAGAAAAAAAAAGAATTCTATGACATATAGAAGGTGTTGATTTCAGAGGCATGTTTCTAATTCTTCAGAAAATTACCTCTACAAATAACGGTGGGATGGTAGTTCTTGTCGATGAATGCTTGCGCAACATGGAGCATTTCACCAGCTAAAGAATACATACGTGTATTAGAAGGGCATAAATCAAATGAAATTTGCTCATGCAGACAACTGCTTAAGTACAGCAACAAAACAGATCAAGCATACATATATTCTTCGGCCCTTCTAAACAGGGAAGGTCAACTTGAAATGAGTCTTTATTCAGATCATACTAATTTGATATGATTTGTGAACTTCTCTAATATTATCTTTGCAGCATATATGTTTTAATATTGATAAAATGGTCAGCTAATCCAGGATGACGCTTGTGCAGTTTATGTGGGTCAATCTGTCAGATAACCCTAAATGATTCATTTCATGAAATTCAAATGTAAATACAAGATGTTATGCTATTCTGTCATATTTGAAGATGCACTTAAACCCCTAGTGGGTTTTGGTGATTAATGACAAGGTGGTTAAAGGGGACTAACGTGTTTATCAAGTTTATTCATAGGAGTTTAGCCCCAAAACAAGTTGTGATGGCTAAGAATGCAAGGAGACCCTCCAATTTGAATGTTCCTAAGTGCGAAAAACATCGAAGGTGATTAGACTAGGTTTTTCTCTTTCGAAATTGAGTTTAGGAAAAACCGTACTATTATGAGGGGTTTCAAGTGTGGTTCCAGGGTATACAAAGTGCTCTTAGTCATTTCCATGAGTCTAAAGGTTTTTGGAACTTTTTTTTGGAAATGATTTTCCCCGGGACAGAGAGGCCTACCCGGAGGTTCTGGCCGGAACCTCCGGACACCAAAGTTTATTTTCTCCACGGGACAGAGAGGGCTACCCGAAGGTTCTGGCCAGAACTTCCGGGCACCGAAGTTTAGCTAGTTTTTTCCTAAGTGCTGCCCGGAAGTTCCTAGCACTTTTGCCCGGAACCTCCTGGCAGGTTTCCAGTTCAATCTTGTGAGTAACGGCTAGATGACGTCACCTAGCCGTTATATATATGGATTTCGTCCCCAGGTCACCCTTTGGCCATTCCACTTCAGTTCTTTCATGTTCTAGGGTTTTCTAGCCACTCCCAAGCTTCCTTTGCTTCCTCCACTCAAATCTACAGCCTATCTTGTGAGATTGAGAGATTAGATTAGAGTGTAGGAGTGTTTTGGAGATGGCTTGAAGATTATGTTTGTTTGAGCACTTTGGATACTTTGTGGGCTGTCACTTGGGCTTATTACTCTTGGAGATCTTCTCCTAGAAAGTTAGGTGTCGCCCGTGAGCTTCCAAAGATCTTGTGGATGTCCCGGGAAAGTTTGTGAAGGTTTTCCTCACCTCCGCAAGGAAACGAGGTAAGTGAGTAAAGATTCTTGTGCTGAGTTTTCAGAGGTTGTCCTAGGTAGAGCAACTTGCACTTGTGGTCTTTTCTAGAAGGAATTGTGAGTTGGATCTTGGTGGTCACTCAATTCTAGAAAATGACCTAGAAGTGTTGAGTTGAAAGCTGTGGACTTCTTCTGGGATCTTTGCATAAGTGAGGCAAGGGGTTAATCGAGACCCGGCTCTTTGAGCACCTCAACGGAGAGTAGGATCTGTGTGATCTGAACTTCGGGAAAAAATCGCCTTTGTCTCTCTTGTGCATGTTCTGTGTTTGAATCTGCTGGTATCTTGTGATTTACATCTTGTGCAACCTTGTGCCTGATTGTCTATAGCTAAGACCTGTTTTACTTCCCCAAATTTTGATTTTCTCTGTTGCCCGGAAGTTCCTGGCTCAAGAACTCCGGAAGTTCCAGGCTGCTCATCTCTGCCAGGAAGTTCCGGTGTTCTTCACCAGGAGGTTCTGGGCCCTGTTAATTTAACCGCTGCGATTGTTGAGAAAATTTCAGGAAAGCCTATTCACCCCCCCCTCTAGGCTACATCTCTGCGCGTTCAATTGGTATCAGAGCAAGGTGCTCTTGATTCAAGCTTCACCGCTTTGAGCGATCCACGATGTCGGACTTAGGGGGAAAGGACGGGGAAATTAGAAATGAAGATGGAGCGAGCAGCAAGGGAACTCCATCTCCCAAGGGAGCCACTATACCTTTTGATTACAGCAAACTTACCATTCCCTCTCACAACTTCGTCTCCATGCCTTCTGGGCGTGCTCCTCAATTTGATGGGACACATTACGCCGCTTGGAAGCACAAGATGAAGTTGCATCTAATCTCTTTGCATCCAAGTATTTGGAAAGTCGTGTGTACAGGTATTGACGTACCTCATGAGGACATGGAGCTCACTTCGGAGCAAGAACA